AGAACTTCTCTCCCATGGAGAGAGAAGGTGGTAAGCAGGCAGCCCTGGGTGCCCACTTCAACTAACTGCAGGACCCCTGGCCAGCCTGGACATCCTTACTCATTGGCAAACAGGCACTGTGCCCACACAAGAGAGCGGCACCGCGCCCCTGCCCCTGGAGGAGAAGGAGGCGCGCCACAGCCTCTGGCTGCCACGGAGCAGCGTTCTGGACGTCTCGCCGGAACAAGGGCATGGAGCCCCCAGGAAATGCAATCACTACAGACGAAGCCTTGCAAATCATATTTGGCAAGAGTGAAGTGAACTAAGGGTCCTTAACTACAGAACTGATGCATCAGCCATGTAACAGAAACTGCTAATGAGTCACTAATTTCCAGAGGGCCTTTTAAAGAAGAGATTAGGAAGGTAGAAAGGTACTCGCTCCATCCATTTGCTGAAATGTTGTATTTCAGTTGTAAGGTTAAAAACATATCTCTAAGAAATACGGAGACAAGAGTAATATTTCTAATTCAAGAGCGTGAACCTTCAGTCCGAAGACCTCTCAAGCCGTGCTCCACACACGCCCCTTTCTGGAGCCCGCTGTGCCTCCGCCGGGGCCCCTGCCCCTAGCACTCCAGCCCTGACTCCTCATCTGCCCTGCGCCACAGCAGCATCACTTCCTCCAGGAAGCCCTCCCAGCTGCCCCTCGCCCCATCTGGGTTGGCTTTCTTCCTGCATAGTTTCAGCTGCCCTCACAGTGCACAACAAGTGCCTGTCACGCACCTTTCTTCTGCTCCATAGCCTAAGTGCTGTGAGGACGCAGGCAGTACCAGCTTCAATCACTGGCCTACCTCCTGGCAGGCCTGGCACCTACCTGACCCTCAGGAAATATTTGTTGAATGAATTAATGAGCACCAGAGACCGCTTTGTTCTCCACACCCCATGCTTTCTTCTGTCAGCCTCCACACTTGACAGTGGACTTCACAGCACTCGTCACAACTCACCTAAGGCTACACAGAGCAGAGAAAGGGGAAGGAACGGAGCTCGTGTTTAAGGCCGTCCCCCCCACCCTTCAGTCCAGCTTAAACCACCACCCCAAGCCCAGCTGCAGCACAGACGAGGGTCCCACTGAGTGACTTGGATCAATGTGCTCAGGTTGCTCATCTACAAACTGTGGACAAATCTCCTGCACGCGAGTATCGTGAGGCCTGGAGTCCTAACTCTTCCAGACACACGGGATCCTGACTGCAACCCCCAGCACGCTGCCCCTCCTCTGCACTCCTGAGGACGGTCCTCTCGTCCTGGGAAACGTGGGATCGCCCCCTCCTCCCGGGCAGGAGCGGAGGCAGGCACTGCACACACGCACTGGTGTTGGTCCTGCTCCTGGACTGCAGGCCCCCCCTAAATGGAAATCGAATGCCCCCCGACCTGGGAGCGCCGGGTTCTTGGAAGGGCAGCCTCAGAACCACACTGATCCCAGGATCATGGCTTTTCGTGTAAGGCTGGGCTGCACCATCTCCAGTAGGAGGCAGTGCCCATCTGCCCTCTTCCTCGGCAGCAGGAAGAACACTGCCTGCCATGCCTGCTGCCAGAGAGGTTAGGCTGGGCCCTGGGGATCTGCCTTTGGCAGGGCGGCCACCCCTCGGCGGGGATGTCTCCCCTTGCACCTGGAGACCTGAGATGTGGTGGGGATGGCTGCTCGTGGGGCAGGTGGAGAGGCGCTGAGCTCAGATCCTGGGAAGGGAAGGGCACTGAGAAGGCAGCCTGCAGACAGGGGACCATGTCCACAGCCGGGGTCTACCAGGTGCTTTGCAGTGCTGCCAGGTAAGGCATAACCACCTCAGCCTCTTCCACCGGGAGTGTTCCGTGAGACCTGCCCTAGACGCAGCTACGGTGATCCCAGGAAGGCCAGGGAGGTGCAAACAAACAGGGGAGGCAAGTGACTGCACCCCCACACGGGACCCTCTGCAGTCAGCACAGCATTAGTGGGGACAGCCAGAGATGGCGGCCCAGACCTCATGACCTCTGGTTGACCACCCCCGCAGGACAGCAAGACGCCCTCACTGGGCGGAAGGGGCGTGGGGGCCACTGAGCACACTGCGCTGGCTCTCCCTGGCTGAGAAGGTCCTTAGTTATTCATGTCAGCACTCCTGGAGCCTGACGCAGAGACCGCACAGCAAGTTCTCCAACTATCAATATTTACTGAATGAATATTTTATGAATGAATAAAGAATGAGTGAGTTAGGAGCATTGAGAAATGAGAATTAAAGCAAAAAGCTTAATAAAGAAGAAGCCTGAAGCCCAAGACTAAACTGCGACCATTTGCGAATGGGATTGTTAACGTCATTCGGCCTTCCACGGGCAAGAAGGATTCAAGCTTAGAACGAGCTTAACAATTCATAAGTTTGCAAAAAGAGGTTTTATATTGGCAGCATAAGATGATGAGATTTATGTCCTCTGGGATCTAAGACTACATCAAAACATTTGGATAAGACAGGCAAGGCAGAGGGCAGAGAGCTCCTTCACAGTCTGGAGGACGGCACTAGGCCCAGGCAACTGCCAGCTGTTCAGACCCCAGAAGGCACCGGTGCCCGGGGACAAAGCCTGTCCTTACACCCAGGGGCCAGACACAAATGGCCACAGTCCCGGCAGCCCATCCAGGACAATGCACAAGCCCTGCACGCATACCCACACCCATGCAGCCAGCCCTCTGCGGAGACCAGCACGACGAGACCTTGGGAGGGAGGGCTTTCTGACTCCTCTTGAAGGAAGGCCATACATGCGCCCAAGTCAACAGACCTCCAGTTTCCAACTATCAGCCCCAAATGGTCCTACAATCACGGGCTAACAGCCTGACTCTGCATTTATCTACATCTATGTAGATGGATCTACATAAACCCCACTAAACAGCAATGGCCGGGAAGCAGCCTCATACACGATTAGCATGGGAATGGATAAAGCAGCATATCCATGCACAAAATATAAGTGACAGTCAGAAGGAGAGAACCAGATTCATATTTCTCTGCAAAGCAGAATGCTGACTTAAAGTTATAAGAAGACATTACATATAGCCACATATGTCTTTTTTAAAAAGGCTCTGAAAATAACACTGGGTTGTGGATATAAGTAAATATAATAAGAGTAGCGACACATGGTCTGAACGACCTCATCGCCTCAAAGCCAGAGGTTTCCCCTGAGGACGGAAGGATGGTGGGTAGGGAGGGAATAGGGCTTAGCTATCTTTTCATTTGCTTATCTTTTCAACATTTTGTTATGAAAAATGTCAAATACCACATTTAAAGAATTCTCCAGTGAACACCCTACATGCCCACGAGTGGATTCCACCATTAACGTTTTACTATATTTGCTTTATCACCTAGGCTATCCATCTTTCCAGCCCTCTCCCCATCTGATAATTTCGTACTTTTTAGGCATCCCAAAGACTCCTGCAGATACCGTGTAGCCCCCCAAATCCTTCAGCGGGCACATCTTTGGGGTCCAGCCTTTGTTCACAGTGCTTATTTTGGTGCCAGATTGCCTTGCGGTGAAATGCACAAATCTTAAGTGCCTAGTTACCAAGCACAAACCCCTGTGTGACTCAGACCGAACATTTAGCTACACAGCATGAACACTGCCTAGAACACCCGCTATGCTCCTCTCTGGTTAAACCCCACTCCAGCCTCTCCATGGGCAACCAACCAAAGCCCTGCTTTTCCTGGGGTTTTGGACAGATGGATCACATGGTACATGCAATTCTGGGTAAGGCTCCCTTCACTCAGCATGCTGCTCCTGAGACTCAAGCTTGTTGATGTGCTAGGAATTTGTTAGCTTTTGTTGCTAAGTATGAGTCCATTTGTAGGGAAATGCCACCGTTTATTTATCCATTCTCCTGCAATGGACATCTGGGCTCTTTTGACTGGAACATTCATGTATAGGTCTTTTTGTGAGCAAATGTTTAAATTTTTCTTAAGTTCCTAGAGTTGGAATTGCTGGGCAAAGAGTAAGTATATGTTCAGTTTTCTAAGAAAGTACCAAACCTTCTTTAAAAGTGGTTGCACTGTTTTATATTCTCATCAGGGAATGAGAGTTCCAGTTCCTTCATAGCCTCACCAACACTGGGCATTGTCAGTTTTTTATGTTAATCATTCCGATTCATGGGTAGTGGTGGTTTGAAGTTACATTTCTCCTGCTGGCTAATTACGTTAATATCAGCTATTTTTGACATTTAGTTCCAACAAAATAAAAGGGAGAGAGAAAGAGACAGGTAGAGAAAGACAGAGTAGGACTGAGATCTACAGCAAATATAAGCAAAATGTTTAAACCTGGGACATAGTATGCTTCTTTCTAAAGTATTTTTTGTAAGTGAAGTTTTTGCAATTAAAAATAAGAAGTGTCCTCCACCTGTAATTCCATCCATAAGGGTGTGCCCCTGATATCCAAGCTGGGCCTGGAGTGAGGCCCAGCGGGGTGTGGACCAGGGCCTGGGGAAGGGGTCCCCTGGCAGCATAAGAGCTTCTTCCAAAGTCACTGATGTCTGTCTGCCTCGGGACATGCCCTAGTGGCCCTGGACAGGTGGATCACATGGTACATGCAATTCTGGGTAAGGCTCCCTTCACTCAGCATGCTGCTCCTGCTCCAGATGCAGTTCCTACTGAGCCAGGGGGAGTCCTTTGGCTGACCTTGTGCCAGGGTGTGGTGGGGCCACCTCCAGAGATTGGGCATGGGTGATGCTGCACCCACCCCAAAGGTCTGTGCTTAGCCTGTCTTTTTGTGGCACTAATTCCTCTCAGCAACTTCCTATCGATATTGATATACGGCCCCCGAATCAATACCAGCTATTCCCAATACAACTTCCTTAGGAATTTAACAGTGAAAAGGCCCTGCCGAATATTTCAGTGTCCTCAGAAAGGGAGACAAAACTGCCCATCCTCTGGGGTCTCAGAAGGTGGACTGAGGGTGGATTATTTCAGCAGCTCTCACGCAGATGATGAGAGCAGGGAGAGGACGCGTGTGGGCACACTTACCGCTGGCACTCGCCGGCGCGTAGGATGAGCTCATCTTCGCTCCGGGCACTGACGGTCAGCTCATGCTCCGCAGAGTTGCAGACATCCAGGAGCAGGTGGCACTGCCGGGAGCTGCATGGCAAAGACAGACGCAAGTTCAAGTTCGGAATCTTCGGGCAGCCAAAGAGGACAGTGACTCTGCCTTTTTCTCTTCCCCAAAGGTTTTCCACTACTTGAAGGCATCAGAAGTGTAATTTATTAAAGTGTCCTGTACCCTGGACATTACTGAGAGTCATTCTGAAGCAACTGTGAACTCCAAAAGTGGATTGGAAATCAGATCCTCCTCGGTCCTGCAGATACATGCTGACCATTCAGATGGGCCCTTTACTAACCAAGTGGCCGTGGGAGGGAATTTGAGCTCTCCAAGCCCCATCTATGTGAAGACTGGGACACCTGACCCACGAGGGAGACCACCAGGGGGAAGCCCTAGGCATACAGGGTCATTCAACAAATGCCGGGTCCACGTCCTGAGCCCACCAGCGATGTTTACTGGATCTCTGCAAGTCCCAGCCAGCTGCTTGCTTGTGCACATGCCTACCATGAGCGCACTGCTCACGGAGACACCAACTTGCTTTGCTTAAGAGCTGTGGAAGATAGCGTAGATGTGCCCACTCACCACCCATGTGAAACCTTCGTTCTTTTGCTTTCTCTACTACAGAAGGTTAAAAAGCAAAATATTCAAGTTCTCATTGCACCCCTGCCACAAAGGGAGGTCCATGGAGCAAAGTTAAGCTGGTAGGACTAGGCTTCCGGAGACTCCGTCCCGAACGAGACAAGTATGGAGAGGAAGAGTCACTCACTCTTCACGCTCTCCGGCCCTTCCTTACTCCCGAGAGAGAGCAGGATGCCAAGAAGCCCACCAACCACTCAGAGGCCATCGGGACAAACGCCACAGGCTGTGGACGGCAGAGTGGAGGCCAGGAGGGGCCTGGGGAACAAGGGCATGTTCCGCAGCAGAAGCAGCCCCACGCTGCCTCCTGCCCTCCAGACTCATCAGCTACACCCATAAAGACAAAAAGCCAACAACACATGCTTCATGTGTGTCAGTCACCATCTGTCAGGTTTCCATTGCAGACGAAAGCTTGCCTACAACTAGTACAGAATCCTGAGTGCCAAGTATCCCAGTCGGCTCATGACGGGCAATCAGTAAGTGCTTGCTGATGTGAATGGGAACGCAGAAGCCAGCACGGAGCAGACACCATGCTCCTTCCTGGGGGAGCAGGCTTAGTGGCTTTTCATATGAAAAAATGCTCAGAAAAGGATCTGTGGTCTGGGTCATTTGCAGCTCAGTGTGACTTCAAAACATGACCCTCCAAAGGGCATCTGAACTCTCTCTCAAATGTACTTCTCAGAGGGTGGTGATGCCAGGCCACGCTGGCTCATTAGCAAGGGGCAGGAAGACGCCGCCCCGTGTACCTGAACTTGCTTATTTCGTCACGACTGCCCTGGGGAGTCATCTGCCTGGACACACGTATGGGGGGAGGGAAGTGAGGCCCAGGAGGCAAGGAGATGGACCGTCCAGCCTGGAACTCAAAATCCTGCAGGTGGCACAGTAGATGGAGATGCATATTCCAATCCAAACCTCCAGAGAAGGGAATGAGGGGGAGAGGGTACAGTAACTGGGCCAGGGGCACACATGCACATATGTGCCCATGCACACACACACACGTGCACAGATACAGTCATCAGCAAAGGCCACAGGGCATCTGGAAAATACCAGGTTTTCAGAATGTGAACGTGTGCCTGCTCTCAGGGGGGCTCTCAGCAAGGCCACAGCGGTCTCATTTTGCTGGTTCCCGCCGCTGACGCACACACGGGCTTCACAGGAGCAGGCTTGCGACGTCGGCTGACTCCGGGCTCTCTGGGTGGGAGTGTCTGTCTCCCCAGAGGCTCAGCACCTGGAAACATTCATCATCTCTGACAGCTGCCTACAAGGGCCTCTTCACGCAGCTCACAGAGGAATGAGCTTTCAAAAATGAAGATCTATTCTGCCTTTGTCATAACTTCATGAAATCTTTAATCACAGCAAAATATTTCATCAGAAGAGGGAATTCGTAAAACATTTATCAGAGGAGGAAAATTGAAGTGATTTTTTTTAAAGCTGGGAAGAATAGATTCAAGTATGTGTTGTTTTCACCCACAGGCTGTAGCCCAGGGAGGTGCACGGGAGTAAATGACGCCATCCGTCACCCTCTGTGCCCTGTGCTTCTGACTCACCACGTGAGTGGGCGGCCCTGGCTCAGCGTCTCTTCCTCAGACGCTGACGTCATGACGTATTAGTGGATCTTCGCGCGCTGTCGCTCTCTCATAGATTGATTCCTTTCCAAGCACAGCAGCACTTTGTGCCTACCAGGCTATCACCTACTCTGGGTGTCTTGCCATGTCACTTTGGATGATTTTCTTAGGATTTATGCTCCATTCTTTCCAAAGCATAGGGAAGCCAAGCAGAGCTTCCTGAAGAACCAGACCAGAGCAAGTCTTTAAAGGACAGGTCCACCCGCCTAGCTGGGGAGAGAAGGGGACAGAGGCCCTGCAGCGGGGAAGACTCCTGAGTAAGGTCGGGGGAAGGGGACAGGGAGCCAGGTGGACGGCCGGCACGTATTCCGGGCAAGGAGGGCGCATGTGCAACACAGCCTTGACACTGTCACTGGGCACTGTTTCCTCTGCAGAGAACTGGGATTTCACTACATAATTTATCTAACAAACACAAGTATCAGCTACGGGAGTAGCTGCCCCAGGCACTGCGGACAGGAAGTAAACAAGGAAAATGGTACCTGCCTTCCTGGAACCCACACTCTCGTGAGGGGAAACGGTGGGAGAGATGAGGGGAGTTAAAAAATAGAAATGTTAGTTCTATTTTATAAAATAAGGAAAAACGTGTTCAAATGGTTGCCCAACAGAGGGCTAACACATACGCAACAGAGATCAGTAACAAATCAACTAAAAACAATTACAAAATATTTTTTAGGAAAATATATTTGCAACAGCAATGCACTTAGGAATAAATCTTAAAATCTGTATGACATTTATGAAGAAAGTTCTAATGTTTTATGGAATGATATTAAAGATGATAAATAAATGAAGGGATTATTATGCTCAAGAATGGAAGAACTATATTTTTAAACAAGTCACCTCTTTCAGAGGTCATATAAATTCAATGCAACTCAATAAAAATCCCAACAGAGATTTGGTTTTGGTCAAACTTGACATACTGGTTCTAAAATTTATGTCTAAGACCAAATGGCCAAGAACATGGAGTAGCTGTTTGAAGATTTGAAAAGGGAATTGCAGAAAGCGGGCTGGGGGAAGACACCTGAAATCAAAGTTCCTCAGAACCTCAGAGTGAGTTTCCATTTCCCTGCAGTCCTACCGAGCCTGGACTGACAGGCAGCCTGGACTCAGAGGTCCCCAGTGGGCAGGGAAAAGCAGGGCTCCCAGGGAAGCCTGGCCTCCCTGGTCCCAGGAGTGGGACAGCACACACAGGTGAAGGTGGGGGGTGGGGAGTGCCCTGGGCTTTTTTTCCTTGCACCCTCCTCCCGAGCCCAGCCCTCCGGCAGTGCCGTGGGGCCACAGGACTATGATGGCAGTCATGGCTGCACAGCACATACAGCCCTGAGGACAGGAAGCAGCCTCTCTGACCCAGGGGACTGAGGTCCCACAACCATGGAGCCAGACCCCATCACTTTAATTCCCCTTTCTGTCCTCTAGCCAATTAGTCCCCCATGCAGATACCTGGGGTTGGGAGAGGGGGGAGGCTCGAACCCTGGCTCTGCTTCAGGAGGAAAGGGAAGGGAGCCTCCTGGGAAGTGCTGGAGAGACCGCAGAACGCAGAGACGAGGAGAGCGGTTCAGTAAAGTGGCGCGTGACCGGGGCCCACTGTGGGGCTGAGCACGCTGGGGGTGGGTCCTGAGCAGCCAACTATGGGCCTTGGGAACTGAGCTCCAGGGCAGAACACGGACGGCACGTATGTGGGACTGATCCAACGAGCACTGCACACGCTCCAGCCCAGAACTGCAGTGCGGCGCGTGGAAGGAACACCACACCCGCAGGGCGGGCTGCCCACCGACACAAGCACAGCAACACTCTACTCAGGAGTCCAACAAGACCCCAACATCTCACCACATTATACATTAAACGTCCATAATGTAACTTAAAATCACTCAGTGTAGGAGGAACCAGGAAAATGCCAACTTACAAGAGAAAATAAAATCAACAGACAACGACCTCAAGATAACAATCATATCAGAAAGACGTAAAACCACTCCAAGAAGTAATGATGCACACACTCAAAACAAATGAAAAGCTGGAAAATCTCAGTAGAGAAAGAGAAGATATAAAGAAAACCAAGAGAAACTTCAGGAAAAAAAAACTAACTTGAAAAATTTACCAGACAGTAAATTATGTCAGTAGTTGACAGGACAAGCATACATAAAATCAAAAAGGACAGAATAAACAAACAATACCATTGACCAACTGGATCTGGCTGACACTTAGTGAAAACTCCAATCCAGAAACACAACACTTATACTTCTCAAGTATACATCAAACATGTATCAAAATAGAACATATCCTAGGCCATA